CCGCGGCGAGGAGGGAGGCGGGGCGGAACGTTGCGGCTGCCAAGCCGCAGAGGCCTGGAGTCCCTGCAGCCCGCCACCTGCAGAGGATCCTGCAAAACAGATCTGACTTCCGTCACGAGAAACCTCAACTCTTGACTTTATTTCTGAATTTCTTAACTTCCGCGACAGTTTAAAACCAGGCTTTCGGGGGGGCGGGGGGCGAGCCATCGGGAGGGCCGTGGGGTGCTCTTTGCTGCGGTAAGTCAGGGGCGGGGTTGAGTGGAAACTGTTTTTGTGAGTGACGCCTCCAGCAGCCAGTGTGTGGGCCCCCGCTGTCCCCTNNNNCCCCGCTGTCCCCTCCCCGGCTCCCGCGGCCCCTCGGCCCTGAGCTGCGGCTCCAGCCTCCCTCTTCCCTCTGCGTTCAGCTCTTATTAGAAATGGTCCCATTTTTAATTTTTTTTATTTTTATTTTTTAAACCAAGCAGGCATCCCCTACGGATGGGACCCCAGGAACAAACACATCAGGAGCCCTTTCCTTTTCGAAATAAGCCCGCCTCTGAGTTCTGGGTTGTTTTAAACCTGTAGTGAACTTACTGTGTTTCCTCGTGGCCGGAAGTCACAGCTCACTTAGCTTTTCATGGAGAGTTTTGTTGCTGTTGATCTTCACCTGAGGATATTTTTTCCATCGATGATGATTTTTTTTTTTTAGAGTGGAAGAAAGGGAGGGAAGGGGAGAGAGAGAGAGAAAAAAAACATCGACGTGGGAGACACACGCTGATTGGTCGCCTCCCATACTCCCCTGACCCGGGCGGGGATCCTGCCACCCACCTATGTGCCCTTGACTGGGACTCGAACCCGAGCCCGCATGTGGTATAGAGATGAATAGGGACCGTTGTCTCTGGTCGCCGAGATGGTATTTGTTAGGATGTGAAAATCTATTTCTAAGCGTTAAACGTTCCTAAGTCTCGAGAGTTAATTGTCTTGCTCTTAAAAAAACACATTTCTTCCTAATGTGGGACGACGGAGGGAAAAGAGTTTTACCTGCACCCCTTCTGCCACCTGCTGGCGGAAAAGGGAAGTTTCGTCTGAGGACCAGTAAATGTCTGTAGTTGCGTTTTCCCCCCTCGCCTCAGTGCCTAGTAAGACCGCGATCTATCCCGAAAGTCCCCGTTGTGTGTGTTCGGCGCTTTCTGTCTGTCCTGTTCTTGAGCTTATGGGAGGTGCGGCCAGTCTCCGCCTTTGCTCTGAAGCGTTCTTGTCGCGTCGAAGTGAATTATTAGCCTTCCCTCCCGGGTTTAATAGCTCCGCTTGCCGGGGAGGGTCTGGAGAGCATTTTTGTGGTGCAGCAAGGTGATGTGGTTAAATTCCTGATCGCAGCCTCGTCCCTCGGATGGTTGGTTCCCCCCCC